GCAGGACTTAGAGAAGCTTGGAGTGTGGGAAGATGCACAGTATTAAGATGTTAGTTGTTTAGCAAGACCAAACAACTGCAATGAGAAGGGCAACAGTGTCCAGGAGTCTCCCATTTCCATATGCTAAATTACTATTTGGTAACTGTAGTAGTTAATTGCAGAAAGTTTTGCTGTGATCTCCTTAAATCCAGGGCAAGGTTATTTACTAGCAATGACTTATGGTCCAGATTTAAGTACCTACACCCTTAGTATTCTAGATTCATTCCCAAGCACATGGCCAATTTCCCACTCAAGCCTTCTCTGTCTGTCTGATTCTCACAAAGGCCTTTTGTGTTTCTAAGCAAGTGGCCAGCTTGTGCTCCTAACCCACCTGCTCAACAGCTGGTCTGCATTTAGCAAGGAGCCATTCTTGTGTTTACCGCAGAAAGCTTTTGGCTTAGCCTCTGGTACAAGAGGGAAGATATAGTGATGTTGGTGCTACCTGGAGGGAACACTGGGACTGACCACACAAAGGGCTGGGGAAGGAGGCAGGGAAGTGCTATAATGCCATGTCTTTGATAGGACGAGGTCAGTAGTCTTCTATCTCATGGTATTCTCTTCGAGCCTTGAAAATGAGGTGGGTGCCAGGTTGCAGTCCCTTTTAAACTGTCCACTTTTTCAGGCTTAACTTGGGCTTTTGGAACTGCCAGGCTGGAGTTACAAAGCTGCCTTGTTCTACTGCCCACCAAGGAGCACTGATGGACTTTAGCTGCCTCACCGTGTCTATGGATAAGTAACTGCTCTAGTAGCAGCTATTTAGACTCCTTTGATAATGACATTGGAGAACAGCTAAACATGTTGTGACAAATTTCTCCCCCAAATCTTTTATGTTCTTTACTCTTGACAATTTTTTTAATGCCTTAAGCATACTTAAGTTATATAAACTAAATCATGCTTATTAGTAAAACTATTCAAGTAATGGAAAACGTGATAAAGTATGGAGTTCAGTTTGTTGTAATTCCCAAGTTCTTGTTTCTTAAGAAGATTTAGGCAGCTCCTAAAAAAATGTTCTCAAAAATCACACAAGGAATTGTTAGAAAATTCATTAAGGGAATGTTTATTACTCATTCTTGTCGTATCTAAAATGTTATCCAGCCAGGAAGCAGAAACAGTGTCATGCAACTTAAATAACAATACCACGCAAAGACAAGTAGCAAACAGTTAAAAAGGAACGTATCACAAAACCCAGACACCTCTGAATAGCAAGTATACGAAAAGAGAAAGCTAACTTATGAATAATTCAGTAGGATTCAAAGGGGTCTACTGATGTTACCATGTTCAAATCTGTTATTAGTTAACAAATGCTCAGGTACTATGCATGATGGTGTAACAAAGTAGCTCTTATACCATCTTAAATATAGAAGTATATTATACATAATCTACGTATGGAGACAATGTGTACACTTATATATTTATGTAATTTATCAGTATTATGGGATAAATAGATGCAACCCAGTAAGGAGTTTAAGTTAAAGTAACTCCCAGCTTATTTAATTAACATCCTCTTTTGCAGGTTCATCATGTACCACCAGCAGTATAGGTGGGTCTAAGCGAGTCTGAATTTAAAGGAGCTAATGTTAATAAAGGCATTTGAAACTGCTACCTTCCACACAACAGAATTTGACACTACATTTCAGCATGTTACAAATTCTTTCCTACATCTTCTGAGCTGTAAAGGAGGGCACATGAAAAAACATGACTTAAGACCTTTTAATATAAGTAAAGCTCTCAGGTATAAAATAAGAATACATTTGAAATTCTCCTTTTTCATAAACTCAAATTAACTTCATATATTTTACTGGTGTGACAAGTCTACAGGGCAGAAGAAACAGATTATTCTATAACATGCACCAATTAAGCATTTCACAATTTTGTAACGTGACAATTCTATCGTTGTTCACTGCTGCTTAGAAATAGCACTTTCTCTAAGGTCCTTGTGCATGCTTCCCGTTAAACTGGTCATGTCAATATCCATGTATCTAGGTTTTTCAAGCTTGTGTAATTTGATCTTACAGAGGATTTTGGCACAAATACTAAGCGTGTTCTTAAAATGCTTCTGAAACAATTCCAAATCATGACTGCCCCCAAAAAATTAGCTATTATAAACTCACAGTAAGCAGCTAGGTCCTATGTCTAAATATGGGAGTATGGAGTTCAGCTTTCAGATTGGTTATGCTTTGAAACACATAGGCCTTTTCAGTGACTGTGGCTTTTTGCATGCAAATGTAAATTTTGTACATAGAAGTCTATTCAGCCCAGAAATCTCCACTTATATGGAGCTGCCAAGGAACGCCCAATGAAAACAAGTGTACAAGCATGCATTTCCTGTCCATCCCATGCCTCAGCCCGCTTTTACTCACACTGACTCAGGGTGTCAGAACAGAGCTTGTTCTGGATGCTAGGGAACTGTGAATGGAAAGGTTGCAGGAAGAGTTTTACTCATAACAAAATGTTAAATTTAACAAGACTAATTTGAAACAAACGGATGAATTCCATAAAGAATGGTTTCAGTTGCTGTCGATCTCTACGTATAAAGTGAAGTACAGAAATCTATTCACCTTCCAGAAGTACCATGTAGCTTTCCTTTGTGCAGACCTCTCAGGCAGATTTCTAGACCTGCACAGCCCTCACAGTAAGTGTTCAACAACTGTGGAGGCTTGGAGGCTAGATTTAATACACATTAATCTGTTATTCTGTCTCAGCAACAGTCTGTGTTAAGTAATGCAACCTGAAGCATATTCATGTTTATATGTCTGGGCTTGAAAATCATGAAGAAAAGGGGATTTAAAATTGTTCCATAATGAAAATCCAGTCCATACTTTAAGATATTTTAGGTCTCTCTGTTATTAGATGATTAGAACTTTCTCTATGTTATCATGAAGTATTATATTATCAGTGGCTTTGTTCTGTGCTGTCTGATTAATTATACTCCATTCCCTACAACAACTGATTGGGATTTTTGTTTTATAGTCTCAAATGTAACACAAAGACTTGCAACAAAAGCTGATTTGTCATGTAATGCCCCAGTTTGGGCATTTATTAGCTGTATGTCTCAATTTTCTAAAAAACAGAAGCTGAATGTTGTATAAATCTTGACATTGCTCTTATTTAAGAGGATTTCATTAGCTAGTGGAGGTAGTTAATCATCTTAACAGCTGGTCCTAAGACACTGAAAAAAGGATCGGTCTTACAGAGCTCTGACTTGCTTTCATTCAGTGAGCAGCTGCAGTGGTTTGAGTTTTAACCATTCCCAGCTGTTTGAACACCAGTGGAAGGATGTAATGAGCAATTTAAGCTAAGGTTACTCCTTACACTTGAATGACAGGCATGTATTTCTTTACCTGTCTTCTGTCACTGGGAAAGAAGAGCTGGGAGAGCTAGAGCAGTAACATTTTAAACACAGGCTAGCAGCTAGACACCCTGATTCCAGACTCTGCAGCTCATAACTCTAAGTTCCCTTAACTTTTTAACTTTGAAGAACCGTCTCATAGCACTACAAAAAGAACTGAGGTCTTAGCCAAGTTTACAGAAAAATGAAAAGACTTTCAAAGACACAAAGTCAGTCTTTAAGACACTTTCAAATCTCTGTGTAACCTAGATCGCGAGCAGGGTAAGTGGGGAAAAAGGAAAATGTAAGTGGGAAATGAGAAGCTTTCAAAACTTGCAACTTCTTGTTTTCCTCATCATCATGTAAACAACTGTGCTGTAATACTTCAAAATGAGTATTACCTTACCTCTGCAAAAACTTCTTGAAAACCCGCCTGTAGGCATAGCCAGCTCTTCTTACTCGAATATTTTCTTTCAGACCTAAGTACTCCACTTGATGTTTTACCCTGTGGACAAAAACAATGCAAGATTTACAGTCCATTTTATTTCAGCATATTTGTGGATTGAGGTATTCTTAAAAGTCCGTATCATGTTTAAAGACTATTGACTTCTAAAATTCATGCACAGGTATATGAATCTATTCTTGCACATTACCCTGCACACTGCATGGTAGGAAAAATATTCAAGGCAGGTAGACTACATTACCGAAATATATGTAGCAAGTTTACCTTTGCATTTTTTCAGAGTTTAACTTCCCATCTCCTAACTCTAATTTATGTATAAATTTCTTAACTAATATTATTACCTATAGAAGACCAAGTAACTATTACCTATACAACTATATAGCTGGTATCCAAAGGAGTGGGAAATTGTTTTGTGTTCTTTTATTGTAGGTTCTACCTCTGGTTTACATAGCTCAAACAGCAACAGGAGCACACAGTAGCTCTTTTTCGGTTGTTCTGGAGAAAGCACCAAATCTGATGGCTGGAGAAAGCCCCAGATGCCACGCTTTGATTACACAATGAATTGGAAAGAAAAAAGCCAGGCCAGTATATTCATGAAAAGCTAGCATTCCTCCTAATTTTACTACGCTGCAAAGGAAGGGTTTAAGGATAGGCACAAGACTGGCCAAAGCATGCCTGGCAAACTTGTTCATGGCATACTTTAATGACAAACAAAAACTGAGCTGGTACCAGTCCCACAGAAAGCGTTAACGGCTGTGGAGGGACTCTGCTGCACACGTGAACTGAAACATCATTATCCCAACGCCATTACAGTTCCCTCATGCAAAACACATTCATTTAGGTTCTAAACAGGGAACAAATATGCCCCCATGAATCTCAAAGCAGAAAACCAGTTCCTTTTGGCACCTTTTTCTCTTTCTGGAGCTGCAATGCATTATTTTATATTCCTTCTTATAACCTGCTAGTCTACTGTTTAATGCTTGGAGATTTGATTTGAAGACTTTCAGTTAGCTTCCTTAACAATGTATGACTCCTGAAGTTTTCCTTCGCACTTCCTTAATTTCTTCATCTAAGTCATGTGGCTGGAAGAGGCAATGTCAGTTTTTAACTCTGAAATGTGGTGTTCAGGGGCTTCTGTTGCCGTTCGTTTATAGGGCAAATTAGAGAAGCTTTAGGTTTCAGTCAGAAATGTAAGAGCTGTTAAGATTTTAGTCCTGCAAATTTAACAAACAGTATATAAAAAGAGCATTTCTTTACATATAATCAAAAAAAGCGAGCCTGTAAGGAGTCATTTAATTTTGTTTTGCTTACTGTTTCTCTGATTTTACAAAAGATTTTTCAAATCCTGAAAAACTCTCAGTTAATTCAGTGTTATTTCTGTAGCTATTTTGAATAAATGAATTTCAATATAAAGTGTATTACCCATTGATTTTTTTTTTCCTCTTCCTTCTTTTGGTTGAGACATTCTTTTCACATGACTCATAGTATAAAGGGAAAAAACTTTTGAAATCTCATGCTACAAATGATAGAAGTCCTTCAGTTGTTTCTTCTTTTTAAAGAACACTTCAGAGAGGTATTTTACTAAATGATGAGTGATACTGCTCTTTTAGCTTATAATAAAGAATACTGCACATTTTAATCTTGCTGTGTTCAAGGAATAAAGTATATTTTGTACCCACTCCAAGAATTCTGGTACAGTAGAAAGTTGGTGGACAAAAATACATTTTCCTGTTTATAGCTTTCCCTCCTGTTCACATCTGGAATAATGCACTAGAGCAACAGTATTACTCCCATTTTCTTACTGTCCTGCCAGTATTAGTGTCCAGCAACAGAGAATTTGAGACATTTTTCTGTTTTTCCTTTTCTTTCTGAGAAAAGGCACACTGAAAATCTCCCTCCAGGCATCAACCTCAAGCAGGTCAGGGTCTGGGAATTCAGCTAATGCAGCAATTTTGAATACAAGTCCAAGTGGCTGTGCCAGGACCTGAACAAAAACACATTTCAAGAACACCCCAATTTTTGGAATAACTAAGGTATTATAGAAAGTTTAGATATTACACAAGGTCTATATTCTGGAATTATTTAACAGCAGTACAAAGCTGGAGTGACATGGCTTCTGTGAGCATGGTGAAAGTTTTTTCTCCTTTTTCAGTAACATTTTCACCATCTAGTAACATGCTACTAATAAGCGGATTAGATATACTACTCCCACCACATTGACTATGGCAGCATGTGTATGATACAGCACTGTGTGATCACACAAGAAAACAAAAAAAACCCTAAACCAACATTCAACAAATTATTACATAAACTCAGTTATGTTTTGTATTTCTCTCAACACAGAACTTTCTCACAGTAAAATCATGAAACAACAAAATTAAATTTAAGTTTGAGTTGTCATATGCGTATAAATTTCTCTTTCCCAAGCATGTCACTAACTGCTACAGCATATGTATCCTGTGTGAGGTCCTAGTATAACATATGGGAAATCATAGTTTGAAATGGGAAAGAATGTTAGGATTTTTAAAGAGGGATGAAGGATTACCATTGCAAGAGCTACTTCCATTTGTGTCTGAGTTGTAGTAAACAATCCTTCATATTTCATCTGTAATCAGTAGCTGTTGCATTTGCAAAATATCATCCTCATTATGGGAAAACAAGAAGAAATCTTGCCCGTTTTTGCTTCAAAAGGGGTTTCCTGAAAGCTGGCCTTTTCTCAGGACTAGGTTTTTGTTTGTTTGTTTCATTGGTTTCCTAGCAACACCTTCCACAATAATAGGCCTGTTTTCCAATATGTAAATGACTGACTTTAAACCCCCCTCAACTTACAGTTAAAAGTTTTAGACATACTTTTTCCAGGATCACTTACTTTCCTCCTTTGGTCCCCAGTGTCAGTGGAAAATTCAGTGCTGCATAGTAGGATTTTCAGGGGTGGAAAAGCTAGGGAAA